ATGCCATGAGGAGGTAAGACAGTGGAAGGGATGTGTATGACAGGAGAGCCTCTTTGAAGAGGTGACGAGAGAGGTGAAGCCTGAGGTCTGCCATGTGAAGAACCATGGGAAAGAATTCCAGGCAGATGGAGCAGCGGCTGCAAAGTCTCAGAGGCAGAAAAGGATGTGAAACAGCAGAGGAAAGAAAGGAAGCCAGGGGCACAAATGGGTGCTTCTGAGTGGAACCTCACTGCTCCAAGAATTCCTTGCTAAGCCTAAGGAATCCAAAGGAAGAGATTCTGTCCATGGAAGGCAAGGGGAGCAGAAAGACATTCAGAAAATGACACCTCAGGAGGCCAAGGTGTTGAGGCATAACCAAGTGCTGCAAACCCTAGAATCTCCCCCTCCCCCCCATCAGTCCAGGCCCGTTCTCACTGCTTCTTGCATATCATCAATAAGGTAAAATTGGTCTTTGGGTCCTTTGCATGTCTCCATTCAGCAACCTCTGCCCCTTTTCAGTCTTGTCTGCATTCATTTTCTCCCCTGTCCTCAGGAGGCTTGCCTGGGCCTCCTGTCTCCTCTTTCCCTCTCGCTTGAATCTGCCACCCTGCTGAACAAGTAGGCTCCTGAATGTGTGCCTGTCCCTGCAACCGCAGGTCGAGCTCAAGCAGGCCAGTCAGTGGCTGCGTTCATGAGACCTTTGTGTCCTTCAAGTGATTGCAGAGTGTACTGCCCAGCCACCAGCAGCATGGGCCTGCCTGGCTGCCAGGCTTGCTCATTAGTCTCACTGACAGCAAAGATCTGCCTCTACTTTGTCCTTCCTAGTGGGTCCATCACAAACTCGGGAACACATGCTGCTGGGAAGAGGATGACTGGAACACATGGCCGTATAGCCAACCCTGGGTTTGTGAAATCAAGAGGCCTGACACCTGGCTTCAGGGCAGTCCCACTGTCAACCACGTCCCCAGCACTCTGGCCCATTGCTCCCTTGTTGAATGAGTTTCCCATGACCAAGGTCACCTCCTCCTCTGGTTTTCTATGGCTTACAGCTTAAGGACCACCATCCTCAACAGCCTCAACAGCCCTATGATCTGACCCTGCCTGCCCTGGGGCTCAATGCACCTTTGCCCCTGCACTCCAGCCATGCTGGCCTTCCTTTCATTCCTTGGAGATGCCACACTTCCTCACATCCTGGAACCTTCACATATGCTCGTCCCTCACCTCAAGCACTCTGCTCTTCCCCCATTTCTACCTGCCAAATCCTCCAGATCTCAGCCCAACCACTATCTCCCCTGGAAGCTTGCCCAGACCCCTAAGAGGGCCTGGCTCTTCTGCCATGTACTTGGCAGGGCCCTGGGAAGAATCCCTGCCGGACTGATGTCTGCACCTCCTGCTAGCTGCCCGTTTGATGAAGGTGGGGACTGTCGGTTCCAGCTCTGTAGCAATGCAGTGTTTAGCATGCCCCTGGCACGCAGCAAGTATCCCATGAATGAGCTGAATGAACCCGAAGTGGTCATTACTGGTCCTCCATGTACCCTGTCCAGGCCTCATTCCCTCCCTTTCTCCTGTCTCCCTTTCTCTTTACTTTCTCTTTCCTCCTCCCTCTTCACTCCTTCTATTCAGTCCTTCTTCCTTCTTGGGCCTTGGGCCTACTTATAGCTCCCAAGAGCACTGTTTAAGCGAAAATAAAAAAGTCTTCACTTTTAAAAACTTGTTACAATTTGTCATAATGTATTGACCTTGATCTAGATCATCCCAAAGTCAGGTGGTATAGGAGGAACCTCGGATTTGAACTCAGGATTATCAGACAAGCAGAGCCCACATGCATAACTGCTAGTCTATTCTATGGGAGTAGTTTTAGCCCCCATGAGTTTAGCCCTCCTTTCTCACTCTTAGATGGAGAGTCCTTTTCCAGCTCACATTCCTGTCTTGTCTCCCTCATTCCCAGACATCCATAAAATTTCTTCTTTGTTGTGTGAGATTGTTCATCCTTCCTGTCTCCACAACCTGGGTCGCCAAATGTTCACCTTAGGCTTAGCTAAAGATGACACTGATATTCAGCTTGAGAGGTACAGGGTGTCCTGGCCTAGCATGCTTGCCATGCCTGTGTTTCTGTTGTCAGGCCCCATTTCCTCTGCTCTTGAGCACCATGCACTGCCAGGTTCAGGAAAACTGGAGGCCTACCTAGTCCTCAGTACCTATATTCCTGTACTGTTTGGAAGACCCTATCCCCAAGGCCATGGGCCAAGTTAGGGTCCTGCTGACTCTTAGCAGAGTTTCCAGATCCTGGCCTATATTCTAGACACCCTTGATGTTTAGATGGCTCTGACACCTGGTAGCTGGATGACCATAGGAAAATAGCCCGTGACTGAGCCTCAATCACAGCATCGGTAACAGCCCCTGCTTCACAGGGTTTGTGTGAGAACCTAGCAAGGTGGTGTCATTAGAACTGAGTCCAGAGCCTGGACATAGGAAGGACAAAAATGCTGGTGCCAGGACAGGAGCTCCTCTGTTTCCAAATGCTTATAGCAAAAGTGCCAAAAGGTGGTGTTCATGGTCACTCCTAGAGTATCACTTTGGACTTTGGAACAAATGGACTTGTAAGCCCCCTCTTCAATAATAATAATAAAAATAAAAGTAGCAGCAAACATTCACATAGTACTCATTATAAGCAAGGCACTGCATGAAGGCTGGTTCTCATCTGATACTTTCCTTAACAAAGTTGGTACTCTATCACCCCACTTTACAGATGAGGAAACTGAGGCACAAGATTAATAAGAGGCAGAGTCAGAATTTGGACACCAGGCAGACTCACTGCAGAATCCAAGCCCTTAGCCACAGTGTTACACTGCTCTTAAATAGTGTGACTTAGGAATTAAAATAATTGCTACTCCCTCCTCTCCCTTTTTCTCCCTTCAGGCCACTGTCCAGGTGCGGGCTCTTGTCTTGTACCTTGAGACCTTTACATTTCTTTCTAGCTGAGTTAGACATCCCATCAACCTAGCTCATCACTGTTACCTGTCTACCCAGGAGGTCCCCTCCCTTCTCTGTGGTTGATTGGGTTGGATTCAGTGGCATCTGAAGTGGGATACCTTATCAGTACTTGATGAAAAATTGCTGATTAGTGAATCCTTCCTTAAGGAACAAGATTGATTCACTCACAATTTATGTGCCATGAATAGGTGTTAACTTTACCTAAAGCAAATGGCTACAGATCACTTTCCTAGCAGCCTAAGTGAAGGGTTACAGCACTGGCCAGGCAATGCGTCCATAACAGTGGAGGTGGGTGTGCCTCCCACCCTGCACAGTACCCAGTTCCTGACAGCTGGATCAGCAGGCCAGCAGCTCCCTGGTCCTTAATAGCTTAGGTAGGGCCTTCAGAAGGCATGACCACAAAGAGATTGCCTACACTGTCTCTCAGGGATCCACCATTCCCTTGCTAGTATAGATGGGGCTGTGGCTGTCCACCCACCATCTCTCCTGAAAGTATTGTCATCGTGGTTGGTGCCACTCACCTGTAACTCAAACCACTGAACTGGATCCTGCATTTTCAAATCCTTTTTGGACCAAGCAAGGATATGTAAGCACCAGTTTTGGGAGAGGGTTTATGAGAAACTCATTGCTTTTTTGCTTAAATTTTTAATATTAAATTTGTTTTAAGTACTTCATTTGCACTTCCATTTATTCTGCAAATAAATGGCAAGGGCAACACAAAGAGTCTCTCTGTGGCCTCAGCTGGCTGTCCTGAGCAGCGAACTGGTGAACTTGCCTTCAGAGGGGACTTTCCTGGGAGTTCTCAGTGACCAATACAAAGAGAACTCGTGGCTGTGAATCAGAGCCTCCACCAAAATCCACAGTTATTCACTCAGACAACCCTGGTAAACAGAGGCCGGACCTTTGTTGGACCCTACTTCCCAAGCAAGGCCATTTCTTTCCAACCCTTCGCCAGTGTCAGACTGGCTAATCCTCGGGCAAAGCCAATAAGGGGGTAGCCTGGCTGACTTGCCCTCTGCTGGGCTGCTCCTGTACTCCCACTGAGGATGGGGGACTCAAACCACCACCATTGCATCCCTGTGCAGAGGAAAAGGAAGGGGCTGGTCACCAAAGCGGAAAGGCTAGAGGAGAAGGTGGAGGGGAAGCTGGAGAAAGCTCAGAGTGCTTGGATTCTCCCAGAGACACAGGGAACTCTTGGGACCGAGATGGGAGGAGAGGTCTCTGCGAAATGCCTGAAATTCCCATCCCTGCACTTGGAGGTCTGAAATTCTCAAGTGCTCCTGTCTGGGAGCCCTGCAATACTCTTGGCATGCCCAGTGTTGTGGGTGTGGAGAGAAGGTGCCCAATGGTTGGCCATTCCAGTTCTTTCTCCACTGGTGCCTATGAGAGGGATTCTGGATAGAGAGTCAGAAGGTAAGGTAAGGTAAGAACCAGAACACTACCTCATCCAAATCTTGTCCTCCTACCCTCAGCTCCTCCTGTATTTCAGCCTGACTTTTATATCAAGAGGCTGATAAAAATCTAGGCTTTCCACCATGTGGACAGGTTTTCCAAGGCAGCTGAGTTTCCAGGCTGCTGGGGAGAGTGAGTGTGACACAGCAAGATAGTGCCAGCCAGGCTCACCGGTGGTCACAGCTCTCAGCTTCCGCAGAGCACAGGGGCCACAGCCAGCACTTTAATAAATGAGAACATTCCCGCCCCCTCCAGTCCTAGCGGGGCTGGCACTGGGAAATGAAGATAATGGATGGCATGGTGCATGATTACTTGTGCAGTCTCTAAGTGCAAATGCTATTTTTACATGTCGGTGCCATCAGCGAGCCTTTCCCCCGGAGCTGCCCACAACCCCTGCTCAACCCAGCCAGAGGGGAGCTCTAGCAGGCGAGCTGTCTGCTTCACACACTCCTCTACCATCCCTTTTTTCTTTCTTCCTCAACCAGTCTCGGACTTGCACCCCCTGCCCCCACACACACAGCCTCCACTCTGGCTATAGCCTGTCGTCCCCAGAACAGACTGCCCTGGGTTCTTACCTGAAGAGCTAGCAGGCTGAGGGCTGTCCTCTCTCCACTCTTGCTCTGGCTGTCCCTGAGGAAATAGAATCTCCTTGGCGATCTTGGCTTTGTTTATCACTGTCACTGTGCTGAGGCTGCTTCTCCAGCAGCCCTAAGCTGGTTCTCTGAACCTCTGGGTTACGGCTGCTCTGTGTGGGGAGAGGGACGGGCCCTGGCATGCAATCAGGTTGCTGGCCCGCCTCCAGACACCATGCCACAGATCCGGCTGGCAGTCCCCGAGGGCTGTGTGGGAAGCAGGGGGGCAGGCGCAGGGAGCTGGGAATGGCAGCCTCTAGGTCTGTCTCTGTCCCTTGTTTATCAGCGGAGGGGACCTGCCTGGACCCAGCAGCTACCCCACCCACAGCAAAGTGCTGTAAGTGCCCCCAGTTCTGGACTGGAAAGCAGAGCCTTGGCCAACAGAGAGCAAGGCAGAGACAGCAGACAGTGGCAGCAGCTACCCTGGGTGTTATTTTAACATGGTTTGTCTTGGGGCAAATGCCTGAGCTGAATGGACTGCTGGTCCTGTCTGAGCAGAATCCTGTTTATTTTGAGGCCTCGGTCACCAGGGAAACAGCAGGTCGTGTGGCTCAGCAACACGCCTCTGGAATCAGAGGCTGCCGGATGAAAGGGGGCTCTTTTCTGTTCTGTCATCTGGCATTCCCGCACAGAGTGTAGGTGTCTGCATGTGGCAGACTGTCTGTCTGTCTGTACCGTTCCTACAGCCCAGCCCCACAAAGGGCATTCTGCAAAGCCACTCAAGGCAATGTCTGCCAGGTTAGGCCTGGGAGGGGCCACCAGGGGAGTTCTCCTGACATTCCTTCCCACTGTTTGAGCCTGTCCCTGCTGGACCAGGTGAGTCCTCAGGTGAGGCCAGTTCCAGGGGGCCGTGGATGTCATCTTTACACCACTGGCCAGGATGGGGGAAGGAAGGAAGGAGGCTGTCTGTACAAATAAGTCTGGTTAGAAGGTGGGGATGGAGGTGGGCTGCAAGGATATGGATGGAGGAGAGTCTTTGAAAAGACTGAATGGAAACACGATTAATAGTTTCCTTTAGTTAGTGAAGAGCCTGCCTTCTGCAGGCACTTGAACTGGGAGGCGTGAGTGTGTGTGGGCACCAGCCTGCACCCTGATGATTCAGCTAGAGAGGTGCAGGTAGACCTATCAGCATCCTGGGCAGTTTAGTACAGAGCATTTCCCTGGCAGAGCAGCTGGGGGATACTCCGTGCCTTCAGAAGGGAGGAGGCTGGGGGAGCTCATCTCTTACAGCTGGGGACCAGAGGCTCAGACATCATCTGACTCGGATCATGGATCCCTCAAAAGGACTGAGGAACGGAAAAGGTTGATGTCTCCAAACCCTATTAGGGGAAGCTTAGGAACTGCCTCCCACTTCCATGTAGTCAAAAAAGACTAACCATTTGCTTTAAAACACAACTATCTTCCTTATAGCCGCAAGATTCCATAGGGCCTCTTGAATCACAAAAAGATAAAAATATTTTGGGCAACTGGAGAATTATTATGATCTATGTCATATGCTTTACTCCTCTTTAACTATGTGGAGCGGAAGTTTTGAACATTAGAAAGCACCCCCAGCAACCAACAGAGAGGCGTTGTCTCTCCACAGCTTCTGCTGGGAGAATGAAGACCATTCTCAGCAACCAGATAGTGGGTGTTCCAGAAAATGTCCAAAGGGACACATGGTTATGAGGAAGGTCCCCCGAGGAAAAGGCAAAGGACATCATCACATCAGCAGAAAATCCACTCTCCCTGGAAAGCAAAGAGGCTCCCAGCTGACAGGGGTGGGGAAATAGGAAGGAACCAGCTACCTCTCTCATGGTCTGCAGTCACACACAGAATATGAGCAGAGGTGTTGCACTGGGCGTCCTACAGAGGGTGTCTTCCCCATCAATGTCATTTTTCAGGAGAATGGGTCTCTTGTTGAAATCTAAAGTTTCTTGGGTGAAAAATACACACACAGGGTTCAGATAAAGCCAGGAGCTACTTGTTCAGTAGCTCAAGTCCAGAAAGTTAAATTCTTCAAGGAAATGACAGTGAACTTGCTTCAAATTCAGCTTCTTTGATTTAGCAAGCCAAAACAGCTAGAAACGAGGATATCAGAAGATGTTTAGGTGGCATCTATCTCTCTTAGAAAGGAACTGCTCAGCAGGCTAAAAAGATCTAAAAGTTGTCCAGCTATGGGAACAAGATCCCCAATTATGAGACTAGTTTGTGATATTTTAATGATATGATCAAGTACCTCTATTGACAAAAAGACGCAGACCCAAAGTATCACCTGAGTTGCATTCCTAGTTAAAGTCCCCATGTGACTAAAACCAGGTCTCCCCGTTTTGTGTTAATGCTCTTTAACCTGCCTGGACTGTGTTGTTGGCCATTCCTGGGCAACGTGGCTCTCTGGGCTCCTAAGGAGATCAATAAGACTCTCCCACTCACGTTGTCCTTGCAAACTCACAGGATTGTCGTGACAGCCACATGCCCAAGTGTATGCAAGGACCCCAGACACCAAGGATACAAGGGAAAACCATTATTTTGTTTTATTTCTCCTTTATATCCAGTTGTGAAAACCTAAATCCATGCACAGCTTTTAGGCAAATGTAATCCCTCACTACTAACACACACTGATATCTCTACTACATAATGAGTGTTCAGCGATATTATGTTCCAAATACTGGGGAACAATGAATCCTCAATTCTTTAAGACATTTACTGTAATCGAACCCCCCCCCATGTTGACATATTTAAAAATTTCATTCTAACATCCCTCAATTTCTATATTTCAACTTTGGTGTCAAGGATCTAGATTTATTTGTAAAATAATATTCGTTGAGTTTTTAAGTCCTAAGATATGGTGGTATGAATGCCCTTTGGCCCCAGGGTTATTTAGAGTGGGAAGGGACTCAGAGATTACCTAGTAGGAAAGTTTGTCCTCAGACTAGCCCTCCAGCTCTGTGCCAGGAAATAGTCTGCAGAAAAAAATAGCTGTCAAAGCCATCTATTAAGCATCACAATACATAAAATCCTACACAGCATATGTAACAAAAATCATTTCTCCCCTCAAAGCTCTGAGATCCCTTTAAAAGCCATGATAAAATCTTCTATGAGAGCCATAGTACCACTGCACCAGGGGAGGTCTGAGAAACGAAGAAAATGATGGGTTTTGAAGACCAAAAAAGTCCTCATAGGTTTATCCACAGAGATGCAGGTTTACCGAGTTGGCCACATCTAAAACGCTGGGGCAGACACTGAAGGTGAGATATCCTGGGAGATGGACTGGATGCCGAGCACTTAGGCAGAAAGTAGCTCCAAACCTCTTCTAAGAGCTTCAGAAAGGTGACAAAGGCAGGCTGTGACATCACTTGTGGTTTTTCTTATTCTGTGCTCAGTGCCTCTAAATTCAGCCATACAACTCTCACTTTTCAATTTTGCCCGCATGAAAGAAATAGAACGTGATAGATTCAGCAAGATTCAAAACATCCCCAATAAGTTCATTTTCTTCCTCTCCAGGCAGAACATAAGCCCTGGCATCTTGACCTTGAATCTTGTGACGTTCAATATTTGCTTGAAAAATTTCCTCTCGCTCATCCTGCTTACAGAGGCTATGTGAAACACACACCAGCGTTTTCTTCCTAATCTCATTTAACCTTGTTCAGGCACAACAAATCCTAATCAGCTGGTGGGAGAATCAGATGCTGCAGGCCCCTCTCCTCCCCCAGCCCAGGAGTTCCTTCTGTTTATGCCCAGCCTGGCAGCTGATGAAGGCTCCTGGCCTCCTGGTGAGCCAGCTGCCAAGAGGGCTGGGAAACCAGCAGACCTTCACAGGAAATTCTGTTAGTTACCTGAGGAGACCCGAGGGCCGACATCAGCAGAGTTGCCAAATGGAAACTGGGTCCGATGGTTCCCAGAAGGGAGGCACCTGACCTGTCCCACTGTCACCCAGGAACATGAGCTCCCCCTACTTTGTCAGTCTGGCTTCCAGCAACTGTAGGCAGGATGCCTGGGGAGGATCTGGCCCATGGGAGCTGAGAGGTGGGCTCTGCTTCTCTGATACTGATCACCCACCACCTGTTCTGTTTTCTACTTTTTAAAAATCCTGGTTTTTAAATAAAAGAAATACTTCATGTGCATGATAAAATGCACAGTGTACAGGAATGTATAACATGACTCTCACTAGGCCTCTTCTCTCCAAAGATAGCCACTATTAACTTTGTATGTGTGGCAGGGTGGCCACACCTCCTTCTAAAGGAGGAAAATGTCTTCATAGTGCTGGACATGTGTGTGCTTAAAAGCAGTTTACTGTGCACAATGTCCTGCATTGTGGTTTGCTCTTCATTTGATTATAGATCTTTGTACGTTAGTCTGGTCCATTCAAGCACCAATATTTCTTGCCTGGATTATTGCAATATGCTAAGTTTCTCTGCTTCTGTCCTTAACAACCATAGTTCCTTCCAGAAGAATCTTGCTAAAGGGTACATCACATTGATTGCCAATATTTTCAAAATTGTCCAGTGCCTTTGCCTAGCACTGAGAGCAAAAGCTAAGCTCGCTACCACACCTGCCTCTCCAAGTTCCCCCGCTGTGCAGTCCTCCTTACTCATTGTGCTCCAGCCACACCAGTTCTCATCTGGGCCAAGCGTGGTCCTGCCTCAGGATCTGCCCCCTCTGCCCAGAAGGTACATATTTATTTTTTGCCCAGAGACTCTTTGCACGACTGGCTATGTCTTGTGGTATCGGCTCAGACCACCCTCCCCCTGACCACCTGTTCTAAACCAGTCTTCATTTTCCCTCTGAGATGAACTTATTTTTACAAAACTTACTACAATCTGAAAATCATCATACCCACAAAAGTGTTTACTTATTTTTTTTGCCCCCACCACCGCACACACTGAAACGAAACTCCATGACAGCGTGGGAACTTTGTCTCTTCATGCTTACACGCGCAGTTTGTACACTTGACCATCCTCAGAATTACCTGGAAGGTTTGCTCAAATACACGTTGCCGTGTCAAATTCAGCAGGTTGGGGTGGACTGACCCAGTTCATATCTGCATTTCTAACAAGTTTCCAGCTGAGACTGCTGACCCAGGGACACCACTTTGAGGACCACCTGCCTTGACAATGCCTGGCACACATGGATGCTGCATGTGCGTTCATTACATGAATGCGTGAGCCTGCT